TGAAGTGAGATTAAAGTACAAGAAAGAAACTGCATAAAAACCCCATTTGTATATGAATGTTAATGAAACTTATGTTGTTTTTAAAGGTCCTAAAGAATATGTTGGAAAATCAAAGTTTGCTAGTTTACACCCACCACATGTGTTTTTGTAAAGTTCAATGTCAAGAAAGGTTTGTTATTATCAACAGCATCAAAATATAATCCTTATCCTTGATGCCCTGCACAAGTTTGATTCAAATTTTCCATTGTATTCACATGAATTTCTTTTTAGCATTGTATGTGATAGTGAAAAATATTTTTTATAATAATATGTGTACAACATCCAAAGATGCTTCAAATTTTCATAATCTATATGTTTTGAATCAAATTGAAAAGAATAAATGCATTACATGGTACCAATGGGAAAAAGTTACAGAAGGTTATAGAAAAGAATATATTAAAAAAATTGAAAAAAAGGGAAGAGTTGATGATCTTTACAGCACCTTTTCAAAACCTTTACCTTCATTTCTTTGGCATTATTTTATTAAATAAAAACAATCAAAGAAATATTGCGATCATAAGATCCAACTTCAAAGTAATCCAGACACAGATGTTCTTCAAGTGAATTTTGCTGAAAAATTTTCAACTTTGTGGCAAGATGAAGTGCAGTCAGCACATTGGCACAAGAAGCAAGTTACTGTATTTACTGCTGTGTTTTGGTAGCAAAATTCATGCTCATCAGCTGTCATAGTTTCAGATGATTTAAGCCATTCAAAAGAATCTATTTTTGTATTTGTTCATAACTTATTATCTAACTATATTGAATCAAGTGTTAAAATACTACGCGTTTGGACAGACAGGCCAAGTAATCAATTTAAAAATTGCTTTATTACATCAGCAATGACCTGGTTGAAGATTTAAAATTATTCTGGAGCTATTTTGCTGCTTCACACGGAAAAGGCCATATTGGTGGGACCGTTAAAAGAATAGCAACACAAAAAATAATCAAGAGAAAATATATAATAACTGATGCCATAACTTTTCTTGAAGCTGTTAAAAATGAGACTAATTTCAACGTTCATTTTTTTTCTATGGAAGATAATATAAATACAATAAAAAATTTTAAAATTAATGAGTTATTTATAAAAGCACCAGCAAAACCAGGAATATTTGCAGCGCAATTAATTCAAATCAATAATGGGAAAATAGATATGCGACCCTATTCAAGTGCCAAGTATTTAGTGAAACAACTTATGTCTTCAGATAAAATCACCCAAAAGCTTTAAAACATTGTATATATGACAGCAATATAATATGAACGCGATATAACACTGATATAGTATGGGCGTATTCTGAAGATGACTATGTAAGAACTATTTTTCATTAAGATGTAATTATATATTTGTCCAATACCTCTCTACTAAGTTTTAAATTTATTAAAAACAGCTCATTTACCTGGTTTATAATTACCTAAATGTGTCTGGTCACGCTGTGACGTTTACCACTAGTTAATTAAAAATGCATTTGTTTGATATTTTATCAAAAAAATGTTATTTAGCTATAAAACTTGTAAAAGTAATGTCTAAACTGTTTGTTTAATGCCTAGGTAATAATTCAGTTCATCTACATTAGCTGAATCGCGGTGTTGACCTAAAAACTAAAAAACCATGAGAAAATTTTGGTCACGCTGTAATGTTTTATATTTTCTTGCATGAATGAGAGGCTAATATATCCGCCTAAATTTTTTTTCTCGTTTTTTGTAGTACCAATCATAAGCTAACTAAATATATATATATATATATATATATATATATATATATATATATATATATATATATATATACACACACACATATATGTATATATATATACATATACATATTTTTTAAACTTTTGAATAAATGATCTTGTTAAGGTTAATGACGCTTGTTAAGGTTAATGACAACACGTTTTTACACATAAAAAAAATCAATCAATTTAATTCATTTTTTCGTCATGCATACTAATTTTTCAAAGTGGGTAGTTGCCTAGGTAACTATACACTCAACTATACACTCAAATCTCACTTTAAAATTGCCCTATCACTATGTATCCTATTTAACCGCCTCAGAAAACAGTTAACTACATAACCAATCGAAATCAGATAAGATAACATTAATTCCAAAAATAACAAACCCACTCTTATCTAATGACTATCACCTAACTGCCACTACATCTGGATTATGCAAAGTTTTTGAATGCATTATTACTAACTTCATTGTCCATCACACAGGGTCTCAAAAAACCAGTTTGGTTTCCTTCTCAAGCATAATACAATGGTTGATACTATTATAAATGACTGGAGTCATGTTAAAGATAATAATGAATCAAATTTTGCAATATTTGTTGATTTTGTGAAAGCATTTAATCTTGTCAGTCATGACAAATTACTGCAAAAGTTAAAGAATATTCTACCTATCTGGCTCACTTTCTGGTGCTGGTCTACTTCAGAGTAGTGTTCTTGGTTTAATCCTGTTCATTCTATTTATTTCCAACATTCTTGAATCATTCAAGAATCTTGATTGGGATGAAAAATAGACAAAAGTGCACAACAATATAGAATTAGTGTCATATCTACTCAAACGCCTTGAGCAAATCAGACACACTCAGCCCAACCTTCTATAAGTATACAAATTTTATGCTATTAGCCACTTGATAAATAGTGCTCCTGTTCTTACTTAGTACAGTCCCGTTGCGAAAAAAGAGATTCAATGTAACCAATTTGATTCAATATTAGCTTTACTGTTGAAAAGTTACTTAATAAGATCTGTATTAATATCCTTATAAAAATCCTTGCTGACTCATGCCATCCCATAACCACTAAATTATCTCACACCAACAGCAGAAACCAAAACAGATTTCCATTTGCTCTGTACACAACAAAACACTACCTAAAAACAATCCTTTATTCAAAAATTCTTTGTGATGATGTCAGTGAAACTGTGAATTGGAATTAGGGTCTACCAAGGGTTGCCATTCTCCTCTTTTTTGTATAGGAGAGCGCAGTGAAAACTTCAATTTTAATTAGTTTAGCGCTGTGTTCTCTACGGAAAAAAGAAGTGAATGGCAACTCTAGGTCTACCTAACTGCCGAGCTAAACGTGTTTGCGGTCGACAAAAAAAAATTTTGGTTTTGCCGACCTCATTTCGATGTTTGGTAAGACCTTTGCATTTGCTGACCTGATGCCGACCTCTAAAAGATTGAGGTCAGCAAATTATTGCCGACCTCAATCTTTTTTATTATTGGGCAAGCCACAGTACCATATAAGTTTTTCAAAGAATCAAATTTACTAATGGCTGCATAAAATATTAATCCTTTATCTATAAAAATCATTTTTTGTCATGAAATTAATAGCTTATCTTTAAGTTCAGCCAATTTCATTTAGTCTGAATTAAATGAATAAACTAAAACACAAAACTTGCATTGCACCTGTTCCGTTTTTTAATTTCTTTGATTTAATACTTACTAATTTTTTAATACTTAATTGCAAATTTCTCTTGTTCTTCATGTAAACAAACAAGAGATCTACTTAAAAGATTTTATTAAGATGATAACAAGAATAATGCATATGAAACTTTACCAAACATAAAGAAATTTGTTTTGTAATGACTTCTTATTGTGTATTTTAAAAGGTAAAACAAAACGTTTTTATGGAATTAACATTCCATTAGGTCCCTTGTTATCGAAAAATCTTTTTTAAAAAAATGCAAATGAAAATTGCATTTACTTTACGTATAGGAGATTTATAAGATGCTGTAGAATTATCAATTTTCCTACAGGCAGTGATGTGTTTTTTTAATTTAAAAGATGATGAAAAAATGTTTTAAAATTCATTTGTAGGAATGAGATGACAATGTCATTTATTTAAAGAGAAGCAAACCTTTAAGGTATCAATATATAAAAATTAGTTGAAAGAAGATAGTTCGAAATATATACATAAAAATAAACATATAGAGCAAATTCAAATAAAATTTAGTATATTCATGGCGAGGCAAAAACAAAAAAGTTTTTCAAGTGGTTAAGCACAATAAAATAAATGCTTTTATAACCCACTTTTTAAACCCTCTATTATAACCCTCTTTTAACAGATAAAATAGCATGAGTAAGAAGTTATTTTAATGAAAAAAAAATCATAACAAATATTTGCTATTGCTATAAAAATTCAAATCTTTTTACAAAACCCTAATTTTGACATATTTTAGACTAAAAACAAAAATAATCAAATTAAATTAAACAGCACTCAGTGTTTTTTTCAATTTTTTTAAATAATTATATTCTTTGCTATGTGTAAAGAATCATGTTTTTTTGCAGACGTGCAACTTTCATTGCACATGTCTGTTATATATATATATATATATATATATATGTGTGTATATATATATATATATATATATATATATATATATATATATATATATATATATATATATACACACACACACATATACACATACATACATACATACATACATACATACATACATACATACATACATACATACATACATACATACATACATACATACATACATACACAACTTGTAGAAGATAAAAAAAAAAAAAACATTACAAAACATTTTATGTAAATGTAATGGTCAAGCTATCCTAAATGTGAAAAGAAAAAAAAAATTAAAGCAACTAATTAAAAAACTTTTTACATTATACAAAATCTATGAAATAATCATAAAAATTATATTCAAAATATTTTCTTTATCATTTTTTATTATTGAAAAAGTCTGCGTAGATTTACATTAAAACATCCAATAATTTGATAACAGATTTAATGCCATGTTTTATAGTTTTTTTATATAAAGGTTAAATTTTAAATAAAAAAGGAGAAAACAGTAAAAATATTTAAAAGAAAATACAAAAAACTTAAAACTGTTATTTAAATAAATGTAGGTGCAAACTGTTGTGTTTAAAAACCATAAAAATAACTAAAAAGTATTTGGGAATAAACATGCACTAGAAACAACAACTATAAAATTTGACTTTTCAATTTAAAAATTTCAACAAATAATACTTCTAACATTAAAAGTTGAATATAAAAAGATTAATCAACTTCTTCTGCTACAACTGCCATTTTTTCAGTTTCTTCACTAGATTCTGTTGAAAACATTGATTCCATTAAGTTGTCTAAAATCATTAACTTTACTTTTGCAAAAACCTTTTTAAAATTTGTGGTTTTATATAAGTAACAAAGAAATTTAAAAAAGGCAATTGTTTGCCTAATGATAATAAGTTAATTAATTAAATACATAAAATATAAAAACCATGTTTTAAAAAACAAGGAAATATTATGAAACCTATCATCTATTATACATAAAGAAGTTTATATGAACACGATGTAACAATACCTAATAATCCAAAGATACCAGACTTTTCTTTTTTTGGAGGAGGTATACCAAAAAATATTTGACCAATTTTGTCTAAATACTAAATAAATTCAACTAATAAATTATCAAATAGTCATATTTCTTTTACGTCAATACACACAAAAAAATTAAATGAAGGCGGTCATTTTGACCGGCTAAAACATAAAATTGACAGTCAATTGTTTTAATTAACCAGCCAATTAAAAAAAAATTTATTCAGTGTTTTAACTTTTGTTTCATAACACTTACTGAACTTTATAATTGAAAAAAAAAACTTTAGTCCTTACAGGGCCCATGACAACTGACCCTGTAAAGTCTTTTAGAAAAAAAGTGGCACCCTCCTGGTGTCATCAGATTTAAAAGTATTACTTTCAACATAACTTTAAATCAAATCACTTTTTTTAGCAAAAATTCACAACAAAGTTTTACAGTAAATAACTTTAACTAAATCTTGTAAGTGTTATATAGCTCACATGCGCAGATTAAAAGAGGAGTTTTGATAATTAAACTTTTATAAAAGTTTTGATAATTAAACTTTTATAAAAGTATCAATGAAGAAAGAAAAAAAATAACTTCTTTTATTTTAAAAATACTTTTGTAATTTACTACCCTTCTAATGCTTTACAACACATGAAGATGTTGTTAATTTTAAATTTTATTATCAAGTAAATTGTTATTTTAAAAATAAACTAAGTGTAGCTGAGTGTAAATAATATTTAACTTTAATGTTATTTATTCTAAGTATATAATTTATCAGCACAAAAATTAAAATTACTGAAACTAAAGATACAATACTAGAAGACCAATGTGTTGTAAAACATCACAATAAAAATTGCTAATACTAATTGAGTTTTATTAATAACTCAATAAAAAAAATGCACAAATGAGAATTGGAGTTTATTTAAATTGCTAAATGTTCATTCATTGCAATGACTTATTATAAATGGGTAATAATGTTCATTCATTGCAATGACTTATTATAAATAGGTAACAATGTTCATTCATTGCAATCACTTCACAAATGGTGGCAAAATTTTAAAAAATATTAAAAAGGTTCAATTAAAAAAAAAAAAAAAAAATTAATGAGAAAAAAAAAGTTTAAAGAATGTTTTTCTAAAAACATCAAAACACTGGCAGAAAAAAATTGTTGTGTATATGTTATGATTGAGATACTTATGTCATTAATGTGCTCAGGTAATTAGTCCTAATAAGCTGAGGATGGTCGGAAAAAAAAATTTAAACTTAATAAAGAAAAAATTTAATAATACCATCCTGCTACTCCAGGAGGTACTGCTGTGGAGACAAAAAAAAAAGGATATAGCTAGAAAAAACTTTAAAACATTTTTTTGACAATTAAAAGTTTTTTTTGCTACATTTGTTTTTTTACTATAAATATATATGGATGATACAACGAATATGTTGAAATGAAATAATTAGACACAAAATTTAAAAGCTCTTAACAAAAGCCACTAAACCAAAAAAATTAAAAGTAATTGCAGTTCAGTGCACTTAAAAATCTTAACTATAGTATATTGGTGTATACAAAGACACATTATAAATCATTTTTTAATATAAACTAATTTTTTTTTCAACTTAATTGTATAAACAGGTTTGGCGCTTAACCATCCTTATATAAACAATATATATAAACAAAAATGTTATTTGTTTATGTATATTAAATATAAAATAAAAAAAATCCACTTACATAGCATTTTATTCAGGATCGTATGCAATATAAGTAAATTTTTCTAATAATTATAAGTCTTTTTTGCTCAAGCTGTTTTGTTTTGATTTTTTGTATGTATGTTATTATATTTAAAAAAATGACAAGATTGAAAAAACACAAAACATATTGTCTCATCCAAGTGGAAAATTTGAAACTTCAATTTTAGATTTACCCCTCTTTTGATATTTTCTGATTGCTAAAATTACATCATCTGTTTCTTAGACCATTAAAAATGATAGTAGCAGCTTTTTTGTAAATCGTTGAATTTCTTTGCGTATGTGACATCACTTTGTGGCAAAAAAACTAGAAAAACAAACTAGAAATAAGATTTTATTTAAATTTTTTAGGAAAACTCCTTCTATTAAAAATATATGGAGTATATTTTTACTGGATATATTCTAATAAAGATTTCTATTAAAAATATATGGAATATATTTTTATGGGATATATTCTAATAAAGATAAAAAACTATTTACTATTGTAATAAATACAAGCTCTTACCCATGAAATGATATCTGTACTAGTTTTATACCTTTTTGTGCAATTGTATGCACCATAATCAAAATTAATCAAAAAATGTAAGATAAATGCAAAAGGAAACTTGACGTATAAAGGTTTATTTTGCCACAAACTGATGTCAATAGCAAAATTTTTTTGGCTTTACTTTAAGATTAGTATTTAATATTATTCTTTAGTTTTTAATGATAATCATAAGAATGAACTTTTTTTTATGACTATGTTTTAGTGGTCTTCTTAGTTCCATTTGGATTGCATTATATACAAACGTCTGTAAGTGCAAACGCCTACAGCATATGCTATAGACGTCTATAGCATATGTTATATGACAAACTGACTGATACCACTTTACCAATGCCATGTCCACTGAATACTCCTGCATCACACTCAAAATAGTAACCACAAACACTGTGGACTGTTGGCATGTTCAACATTAGCATGCAATCTGCTTTGAATATTCAACAATCACCGGTTGCTTATTAATGACTACCAACTTGTTTACAAGTTGGAAGTCTGCAACAGTAACATCCCACAGTCAATGGTGCATCATCTAAATTTTCAATGGCAAAGATAGTACAGCAATAAAGTATTAATTTTTATGAAAAAGCTAACATTCCAAAGGTGAAAGAATGTAGAGCATGCGAGAAGATTGTGTAGCTTCTTGATAAGAACAACAAACTTCGTTTAATTGACAAAAGCTGTCATGATATCCCAGCCACTCAGCGCAAACTGGAAGAAATGCAGTCTATGTTGGAATCAACTTTCCAACTTTGGAAAGGAAATGTGGATGTCTTATTAAAAATGCTGAGGATGTTGCATTACTCATACCTGTGAAATGAGACAGAGCTTCCAACTTCAATGCTTTTGACAAGACTCTTGCCATGAAAATATACAGGTACAAGACTCGAGATGCAGCAGAATTGAAATGTCTGAAATAAATGAGAAGAAATATTGTGACATCATCTATAACTTCTGAAACTGTGACCACTGGAAGTAGTACTGATGCCACTGAATAAACCAAAAAATTTGCATCTTAAGATGACATGACAGGAATTTAAGAATTGACAGACCAAGAAGATATGATGTCTCTGAGTGAACAGCAAAAAAAACCAACAGAAACTGTAGTACTTGTACCTCCAGATGTTTTAAGTTAATCCAGTGTTGTATCTCTATCAATAAGATTTAAGATGAATTCAATACAGCAGACAGCATTTATACAGGGTCTAATAAGAGGGCGAATACGGGTTGATGTATCTATGATAATGTAGAGATTCTCCAATCTCTGTAATCTGTACTGGAATAGAAAACTGACACTCAAAAACCAGCATGTCACTGAAGAACACATTAGAGTAAAAGTTGGTGGTTTAAAGCTTTTAAGTGATCCAAGTTACACAAAGGTGATGGATAAAAATGTTGAACAAATCATTGCAGAGCTAACAATGACACTGATGACTGAGTAGGACTGCAATGATCAATTTGTTAACATGACATTTGACACAACAAGCTCAAACACTGGTCACTTGTCTGCAGCTTACATTGCCATACAAGATAAACTTCAGCATGCTGCTCTTAGGTCCAGATGCCATCACATTGGCAAAGTCTGCACTCCACAGTTTTCAACATTCATAAATTATTCTACTAGATTGTGCAAGCTTGTTGGAGTTGATTCCTGGTTTACAACTCATTGTTTTAAGTTGAACACCAGCTTTCTTGAACTGCCTGTTGAGCAATGGCAACAGATCAGAACGCTGCAGCTGTTAACATTTTTAATGAATGTGCTGAAAGAAGAGTCAAGCTTTTATAAGTTTTTTAAATATATATTAAACTATTTCATATAAATATATGTTTGTATTTAGCACTCAAATTATTAGGTATTATTTTTTAGGTTTAAAATCTTTTTTAAAAGTATATCAGCATGTATTGTTTTAAATAGGGTAAAGTTAGGGTATTTGGTTTAGCAATAGTATGTTCTCTCAAATTTTACAAACCAGAGATTTTTTGATCTCACTTAAAGAAAAAGCTGAATTATTTACTAAGAACTTTTTATCAATCTCGTCTCTTGATTCCACTAATCAAATCCAACCTGATAAAATCAACAAACAGGTTGATCTATTGCTTAACATTCCTATTACTCCAGCTTCTGTATCTAAAGTGATTTCTTATTTAGACTCTTCTACTTGTACTTGCTTGTGGTCTAGACAACATTCCTGTTATATAGTCTTGCAGAAGTGATCTCTGGAGCTGTTGTCTGTACTTTCAAAACAATTCAACAAGTGCTTATCAGAATTTTGTTTTCCAGCATGATGGAAACATCATCTGTTATCCCCATTTTCAAAAAGTCTGGAGAGCAATCTGACTCATTTAACTACTGCTCCATTAGTCTTCTTCCTATCATAAAAAAGGTTTTTGAATCATTAATTAAGAAACACTGAATCTCTCATCTCGAATCTATTAAGTTACTTTCTGATCATCAATATGGTTTTCCATCTTCTCATTCTACTGCTGATTTGTTAATGGTAATGGCTGATAAGTTTTATCATGCATTAGATAAATGTGGAGAGGTTAAGAATATCCCTCTCAACATTTTAAAGCCTTTGATAAAGTTTGTCTTCTCCATAAGCTCTCTTTTTACTATGTATCAGGTAACATCTTTAAAATTATTGAATCCTTCCTTATCATAGTATAAAAGATGTCCTCGATGGACAGCACTCTTCTTCATTTCCTATAATTTCAGGTGTTCTTTAAGGTTTTATTTTTGGCCCTATATTTTTTTAAATTTACATTAACGATCATCTCCTAGAAATTCTCAAACACAAGGTAGCATTGTTTGCTGATGATACTACCATTTATTCTTGTCTTGATAAGAAGCCAACACTCTCTGATTGCTTGGAGGGAGCATTTGTTCTTAAAAGAAGCTCACTTTTGCTACAGCATGAAGCTCTCAGTGGCTCAGAAGCTCACTTTTGCTACAGCATGAGGCTCTCAGTAACTCGAACTTTGACTTGAAATTTTTTTCAGCTAATCGTTATTGTAACAGTCTAGATTGATTTTTCTTGGAATATTAAATTCATTGCAAAATTAGCATCTGCTAAGGTTGCATCTCTTTATTGTACTTGCCATTTTCTACTTCTGGATTCTGTTTTATATCTCTATAAATCTCAAATCATTCTTGAATGGAATACTGTTGCCATATCTGGAGCGAATCAATCTTCGAATGATGGCCTTTCTCATATAAGACAATGTGCAAAAATGCATTCTAAAGATAGTTGGACCTGCTCTTGCAGCCAACCTTCAACCATTGTCACATCGTTGTAATGTTGCTTCTCTTTCTCATTTCTATAAATACTATAATGGGCACTGCTCTAAAGAGCTAGCATCTCTTGTGCTATCTACCGAAATTCATTCTTGTGTTACTTGTCATTAAGTCTCATCCTTTTACTGTGACTGTTCCTAAGTGCTCCAAAAATTCTTATTTATCTAATTTTTTTCCTCAATGATCAGCTCTTTGGAATTCGCTCCCTTTATCTTGTTTTCATAACAATTAACAGATGACTCATTAAGTCATCTGTTAATTGTTATCTTGCTTCATAAACTTCACCTTCTTCCAGTAACTTCCAACTCGTAGTAGCTCCTACTCAAAAAGTGGTCGCTTGCAGTGTTGTTGGAAGTGAAGATGTTTATATAAAAAAATCAAATTTAAAATGAACATTTGTACTCAACTTTGTAAATTAAAATTATATTAAAAACAAACTAAATATCAAAAGGAATTCTACTGTCTTTAATCAAACCTTATGAAGAAAATAAAGCTAAATTTTCTTTAGTTTAACTATATTTACTTTATAAGGTTATATAAGTATAGGTCAGCCCCTCCCCTCCAAAAAAAAAGATCACTCATTATTTTTTTTAAATAAATATTTTTAAAAAGCTCCTTCTGTGAATAGATTTTTAAAAGTTTTTAAAAGCGATTTGTTTTTTCTAATGGTCACAGGACATGTTTTTAAATGTCTGAAATACAAAACATATATTAGACACCTTGAAAATGTCTTGTGCTGCTACTTCAGGCCTCGTTAAGAAGCATTATGCAGTACACATTTTACAAACAAAATTGCAACTTCACCTACACGCTCAGCAACTTATATTGAGCAAAAACTTTTAACCATTGGAATCTTTAAATTGTTTTTTTATATTGTTTATGCAACCTTTATTTAGATTAAATTACTTATTGTAAAAAAGATGTTAACTGCATTTGTGAAACAATCTAATTTTTCAAATTAAAAAAAGCAGATTTTTTAAAATTGAAAACCTTTAAATAAATTTCAAAAATTTTAGATTTCTTTAGTATTTTTTGTTAAAGATGTTAAAAGATTTTAAGGTGGTTTAAAATTAAATTGAATTACATCACGGAATTTTAAAATATGTAAGAACACAATTTTTAAAATATAAAAATCATTTCTTAAATTCATTTAAATATAATTCTATATTTATATACAAATTATTAGTAAGCAACATTAATAAAGTTCATTGTAGTTATAATTATAAAACGTAAAATTTTAAAAACAATTTTTTCATGTGTCTATTTGCTTTAATTTAATGTTGAACTTAATTTATCTGAACTGTATAGCTTAAGTTAAATTAACTACAAATTATATATAGAAAAAATAATACAACTAAACTGTATTAAAATAAATATAAAATAAATAAATTTAATAAAATTTATATATAAATCAAATAATTGTACTAAACCACATAAATTAAATTAAATACAAACAATTTTTTAATGAAATAATAAAATAATTTTAATAAAAATTATATATAAAGTACATATCAAATTATTAATTCCACTAAATCGTATAAACCACAATAACTCCACTAAACCACTTACAAACTCCATTAAACAGATAAAAATGACTATTTAAATGATAATTAAATAAAAAAGCTCCACTAAAAACTATATTTCACTAAACCATATAGATTAAATATAAAACATTTATTTGTAGCAAACCTTATAAATTTAATTTAACTAAATATAAGCTAACTATAAAATGAATAACTCTACTTAATCATAGAAACTAAATACAAAAAGTTTATTTTTACTCGACTGTATAAATTAAATTAAATTCAAAACAACTATCTATAATAAACTTTATAAACCAAATACAAATCATAAGTTAAATACAAACAAAACTCTACATGTTCCATATAAGTAAAGATTGCTGTTTTAGATACAAAAATTCTAGCTACAATAATTACAAAAATTTTATTTCTATAAAAGCCTATTTTGACTCATCCATATTTTTCAATAACCCCATAGATTATTAATAATTAAACAAAAAAAAAATTAATAAAAAAAAAAATTTGAACATAATCAAACATTAATTGAACACAAAACTCAAAGCCATGACTTTTAAGACTTATTTTCTACCACTTGAAAATTATTGAAATAGACTAATTTATATAAATAACTGACCAATGAAACTAACTACAAAATAAATAACTGACCAATGAAAATAAGTACAAAATAAATAACTAATGAAACTTAGTTTGAAACTAAATATGATAACAATTATAAAAAATGTACGTTAACATTTTTAATTCTAAACTAAACTGCAAAGCCAACTATTTATTTTATAGTTTATTTTAAATGAACACAAGAAGGATTTGGAAAATTCTATAAGCTCACATATATATTCAATTGTATTATGCATATCTTATTTTTCAGGCAAGTTCAGCATTCCAAACACAGTACAATACAAACGGATAAAAATGATAACTTAATAAAAAATTACAAACACACTTGTGAATAAGTAGGATCCTTATGAATAGAAGGTTGATAATGTTCACATAAGATTGCATATTGTTCAACATTTCCTCTAAATTAAATATTTTTAACTTTAATATTTTATAAAACATGGACATTTTAATTATGAATTTAAATATAAACATTTCAATTTAATTTAACCCTTACCAACCTGCATTTTAATTTCTAAATATAGATTCTTTTATAAAATGAATTTAAATGAAGCATTAAATTTAAATATAAAAATAGAAAAAAAGTTTTATGTAATTTTAGGTAAATCAAGAATGTTCCATATACAAAACATCTAGTTATTCCAGTTGCACAAGGTGTATTTTAATTTGTTTAAATATATATATATATTTTAATATATATATATATATTATATATATATATATATATATATATTATATATATATATATTATATATATATATATATTATATATATATATATATATATATATATATATATATATATATATATATATATATATATATATATATATATATATATGTATATATATATATATATATATATATATATATATATATATATATATATATATATATATATATATATATATATATACACATATATAAATATATGGAACTTCTGGTAGTAACTATTTTAATGTTTGTTTAACATATATAACATTGTAATTTTTTTTTATTAATTATCAATATTTTTAAATAATTAATTCTCATTATTGTAAAATAAAGTAATTTTAAAGATATTTTTTAAAGATTTTAAACATTTTAAAGATATTTTAAAGATATATAAAATTTTTTTAATCAAAATACTATGAGTTTTTGAAACTCAAACAACTCTTAATTATTTTTATCAATACAACTTGATGGTATTGATAAAAACAATTAACAATTAATCAAACATAAAACAATTTTGCATTTTAAACATTGTACTGAAGATTTGAAATCACAACCCTTTTTTGTGCATTGATGTCCTTCAATAAAATCTGGCCAATAATCCATTTTATCATACCTTACATCATCATTTACTTTCCATCACTTTGGAGTTGAATGAAATTTTTTGTCAATGCTACACTTACTTGCATGATTTGCTCCAGGTCTTCCTAGGCACGGTAAATCTAACACCATTTTATTAGTCAACATTAAACTATCAGATACTTTTAGCATAAAATCTCTAAGCAAAATATTCTAATCTATACCATCTTTATTAACAATTTTTTATATCAACCAAGCATTTTTCATGCAGACACTGAATAAATAGTATACTAGGCGATCGTTAATACTTTGTACTTTTGCAATCAAAATGATATAATGAATGGTACATTGATATGTACCATTCATTATATTGTGTTGACTTATGGGATCATAAGTCAACATCACCAATGTACTTGTTGTACTCTTAAATAATGGGAGGAATTCAAATTGAACTCTTTTTTTTAGCTTTACCATTTCATTCACTGATTGTTGATTTTGGTATATTTCTAACCGATCTCATCACAGCAGATGTACAAGCTAATTTTTTCAAAATAGTTGAAGCAGTATTATTAAATTTTGCTCAAAAGTTTTCTTGTGTTGGTAGTGTAGAGATTTGATTTCCATCTTTGTACCGTGTTGGTCTTCTAAATCTTTCACTGGAAGCTGATGAGAAAGTTGGAGGAAGAACTTTATCTGAAGTTTTGGTTTGTTGAGATGGATTTTTACAAAACTGAGTTACTGTTACAGACAACTCTCAGAATTAGCATAAATGAGGTCGGCAATAGTTTGCCGACCTTAATCTTTTAGAGGTCGGCATCAGGTTGACAAAAAAAAAAATTGATACAAAGGTGTCACCATAAAACATAGAAACAAAGTTGGCAATTATTCCTAGGATTGTAAAGATGAATAAAGATGAAACAGTGGCAATTTGTGTTACAGTAGAGATTGGTGCAATATTTGTTGTTTTATCTGTACCAGTATATAGAAAAAATTGTAAATGATCCCAGATGTAGCATCACATCAAGTTATGAATTTAAATCCCATTTACATGGCTTTTTTTTTTACCTTTATTAGAAACAATTTGTTCATCATTACTATTATACCCTTCCAGATTAATAGATTTGTAATTTAGTGAAACATGATCACACATAAGATCACTGTTAAATTCTATATGGAAATTACTTTTAATATCTTCAAATCGATTTTGTTGCATTGTACCAGTGATTTTTTAATATTTTGTATACTACGTGTAATAAATACGAAAAGGCGACATTTGAATAACTCCCATATGGAACAAGATACCATTATATTGCTAAATTTCACTTAGTGTCACGTTGATTGATTTGTCGGTATGCTATACAGAAAAAATGTTAGGTGCATTAGCTAAATGTTCAATCATATCTTTTATTAGAAAACTGAAAAAAAAATTGATTGGTTAAGATTGACCAGTATTGAACTTTTCATAATCTGGTATTTTGCGAAGAAAATCTTTTGAGACAGTATTGTAGAATTTCTATTTGACCACTTAGCAAATTGCAGTTTTTTTTCCACAAGAGCTTTATATTTTGCAGAAATATTTATAGGTTGTTTTACCTTTTTTTTTTTTTGGTATTTGACTGTACATTAACATATTATTCTGCTGCCTCTTTTTCCTTTCTCTGAGATTTTTAATATTATTCATCTATAGTGAGAAACTTTATGGAAATAATTGTTGTTGTGTATAAGAAACAATTTATTCATAAAATATAATCCATTAAATCATAAGTCAAACTTTAAAAAAAAAATTCTAAAATGAATTGCAAATTAAATGAGTTTAAAAAAATATATACATTTATATTTTTATACATTTATATGTCGCCTTTTTAAAACTTTTTACAGAATAAAAAAAAATGATTACAAAAAATATTGTTGCATCTCAAAGATTTATTCCGTAAATGGAACCATAGGTTGTTAAGGGTTAAGAAATTAAATTTGATAAGTTTATAAGTTAGTATGCATTTAAAGCCTTATGAAGACAGCACTTGGTCAGTGGTCGACACAAAGCATTTTTTTTTTTTTTAATTTTACTTAATTTTTTTTTTTTTAGCATTTCAGCTTTAAGGTCACAGCAGATTTTCTTGGATCTTATTTTGACATTCTTACCAGTAATTTTTTCTCTTTTTCATTAATATTTTTGGGTCGACCTGTTCGCTTCTTGTACTTGGTTGTTCATTAAGCTTTATATTGTTGAATAAGTTGTCCTACTGCAATCTTGGAAAAATAAATTAATTTGCAGTTTGAGGATAAGACATTTTTGATTCGACTGAACTTTTTTTTTTTTTTTACAGAAGAACTGATTCCTTTTCATTTTACCAATTTGAATGAAAATAGATTAATAAAATCAAATTTAAATAAATTAATTAAAATATCACACAAAATGTAATGTTATCTTGGGAGTAGAACTTTTTGACTACTATTTCTACTTCAGTCAAAGCTGAATTATTCACGCATTTAACAACAAAGAAGCTTCTTTGTTGAACGACTCAGCAACATGACAAGAACTTGTTACGTTTTGCGGAATCTTTAGTTTTTTTGGGTAACTTTCTTGAGTAATTTTCCTGTTGTTTAAACATTCTGGAAAATAAAAAAGTTCACTGTTTTTGCAGAAGTTATTTTTTCAATAATTTTGAACTCTTTTCTTTATTCTTTCTCTTTCTTTAAATTTTTGTTCTTCTGGATATTCTTAAACTTCTTTTTATTTAAAAAGTAAAATATTTTACCATTGTTAAATTGAACATAATAGCTCTATTTTCAATATAACAAAATAATTTGAATTTTGTAAATAAATTCATGGTTCAAATAAGATTTTACAATGACACTTTTTTTTATTATGTGACGATGAGAAAAACCTAACTTTCCGAACCATTAAAATAACTTAAATTTGTTTTAGCATTAGAAAAATACTTTTAATAAACGTGTCTACAGCATTTGTTAAAAGTTGACAGAAAAAAAAAAGTTTGACTACTTTTCATTTTCCGCTGTGGAATAGCCCATATATGTATATCAATACATGCTACAGCACACAAAATAAAAACTTGAAGGCAAGCGGTCAATTTGACATGTAACACATAGAATTGACCATCCACTGTTTTTATTAACTGGTCAATTAAAAAAAAAATTTCAATTTTTTGTTTTATAACACTTAGTGAACTACAAAAAATTACTTTATGCACAAAAAATACTAAAAGTATTACTTTTGACATATTGACAAAAATACTAAAAGTATTACTTTTGACAAATCATCACTTTTTTTTTTTATAAACAAAACTGTAGTAAATTATTTAATCCCATTGATTCGTCTGGATTATTAAATACACGCAAATTTAATGCAATGAGATCAAATAATTCAGGCGAATCAAATAATCCACTGTAGTAGTAGATCATTAAATCCGCCTAAATTATTAAATGCACATGAGTTTCATGCAGTAGGATCAAATAATTCAGACAGATCAAATCTACTAATACTGTAGATCACAAGATAACTCAATAAAAAAAAAAGCACTAATGATATAACATTTCTCATTTTAATTTTAAATATGCAATTCATTTTTTGCCAAGGCTTTGAAGCCGAGATCTAAAAATTGGCTCTGGCTATATTAGAATTTTTGGCTCCAGCTCAAGAGTGGCTCCGAAAAAAAAATCTTAATTTTTTTTTTAATGTTTTATGACAATAACTTAATTACTATTAATATTTTATTGATCAAAAATTTGATTCATTAAAAATAAAAATAAAATGTGAGGTATACAAGTGACTACTCTGCACGCTTTTTGTATTCTTTTTGGGTACTCTTCAATTCCCTCAATAGCTGAATTCACTTTTAAATGTTTCATTTCTTTCACTATCCTCCAATCATCCAAAAAATTTGTATTAAAAGTATTTTTATCAAAATAATTTTGGCCACAATTTTCTTTTTTTCCTTTTTATTAGGCTCCTTTTCAAACTCATCCTCTTCTCCTTTGGAATTAAATTCACTTAAAACTGAAAGAAGTACTGTAGATAGCGCAGCATTATTTTTTTTTCTTGTTTTTCTATTATATTCTTGGCATCTCTTTTATAAATTTTTTCTGCTATTGCTTTTAAGCCTTGCTTTGCTCGTACTACCTGATTTTTCTTCCCATAGTATTCTATATCTAGCATGAACATAAACTACAGTTAGAAATATATCATTATCAAAAGGTTTTTCTTCTTGTTTCAGCATAGACTTTGAAATGATTCTTCTCTAGGTCAGATTTCAATTTCAACCATTCCTTTAGAAACTCTTCTGGAGTGATGGAGAGTTCTGGATGTCGATTCCTTGAAGTTTACTGTCACATGCTTTTTTAAAAGATTGCAAAGATAACTTTGAGCAGCCGTGGCGCAGTGGTAGCGTACTTGCCTCAGAAATGTAAGATCCGTGGTTCAAACCTTACCTCTGGGCAAGTTTTGCGACATCATTTGGGAAGAAGGCGCGAACTTCCTATTAAATGTTCTTTCGCGGTGCTCTGTGATAAGACCATAAGGACTTCTTGGGGCACCTAAATCAACACTAAAAAAAAAAAAAAAACTTGACTTATTTCAGGACATAAAAAGAATATCTGATCTACTGCAGCAAATTGCTCACACACTGGTCGCAAAAGTAATAATCTTTCAATTACCCCAGCGTATCTCATTATCCAAAATTAAAACAACTTTGTATTGCTTCTTTTCTAAAAAAATGAGAGTTTCTAAGTTTCTTTATAACATAACAGACTTTTGCTAAAAGTTGGGCAATGTATGTTTTTTTTTTTAATCATACAATTAGCTAGCTGCAAAGTGTGAATAACACAGCGCATCAGCTTAATGTCAATAGACATTAAGCTGATGTGCTTTTCCATTTGTATCCTGTTGTAAAAACTTCACTTGTTCTTCATTCTGAAAAGCTTCATCTTAAAAATTTTCATCACCTGAATATTTGTTTAAAATTGCGATTGCTCTAATCATATTGGCTGCATTGTCTACACTTGCACATACTATTTAATGAATTTTACCTAGTTGACCTGTAACCAATTGAAATCTTTCATTCGCAAATGTTTTCAAGGAAACTCCGTTATTCACTACCATTTTGATAATTCCAATTTTAAAAGCTTTAGCATTAACATGATTTATTGTTAACATTAACATGTTTATTCTACTACTAGTGATAGCAAACGAATCTAAAGTAATCTGTTTAGTTTTTTTTGTATCGCAATCTTGTGAATGTAATAAAGATGATTTTGAAGATTATATTTGAGCCATAAGATTCAACAATTTTATATTCTGATAGATATGATCTTTCCAGATGCCATTTTATATTATAAACTTTTGATTTTATTTGCATGGCATATGAAATCACTTTGTCATTTATCTTTTCTATAATCTTACATGTGACCAGTTTTGTAGTTTTATTGATTAAAAAATACTTATCTAGAAACCTCTCAGGATTTTTATAAAAAACTATGAAAACAAAGTAAATGAAAAGTTTTAAAGACAAATAATAAAAATTTTATTTGGAACTCATATGTTTAAATCTATTTTAAAAATGTTTTAACTAATTAATAACATTAAAACAAATCATGTGACTTGATACATAGATAAATCTTTTTTTCCTTAAGGATCGTCCATAAAGTATGTACGCTCGAATGGGGGAGAGGGGTCAGAAAGTAAGGAGTGGATAATAGATAAATCATTTTTTTCTTAAGGATTGCCCATAAAGTATGTACGCTGGAATGGGTTAGAGGAGGTTATGAAAGTAAGGAGACACTAAATTAAAAAAAATATCATAGACGTTGAGTAAGTAGGTTAAAAGGCTAGGTACTTCAGGGAGGTGGAGGGTACTCAAAAAAGTGTAAAGCAAAATGCAGGGGGGGGGGGTTAGAGATGAAAAAAAAAACTTATTTATAGAACTTTATGAAAATTTGATATTATAAATTATCAAAAGGTGAAGCTAGCTCCGGAGCCAACTCTGGCAGGAAATAAAGCTGCTCAAAAGCCCTATTTTTCACCATCACTTTAAGTTGTAAAGATATTTGAGTTCATTTTTTTTAGCATTTGGGATAAAATTCCTAATAATGCCAAAAAAAAAAACATTATTTAAAAACTTGTCAACTAGGGTCTCAAAAGAAGCATACTTTTATAGAGATTTTTGACAACATAAATATTTTTACATAAAATTTATTAACAAAAAAAAATATTAAAAAAATTCTTAAGACTCTTAAAACAATTTTAACAAAATGTTTCAAAGCAATAATATAAAAAGTATTTATTTTTATTACAAGCAAATATTATTTTTAAAATTTTTATACTATTACTTAAATTAGATAAAATTCTTTTATTTAATTTAAGTAATCGTAAATAAAACTAAATACGATTTTTTTTGAGACACAAGTTGAATAATAAAAACTTTTGAATAATAAAAGATTATTTTTTTGACAATATTAGAGATTTTATCCCAGTGTAATTGTATAGATATTTGAACCCAAATATCATTACAACTTGACGTGATGGCGTAAAATGAGTCACATATTTGAAACCAAAATGTGCTATACAAAAAACTTTTCGATTTTTGTATTGTATTTGTAATTTTTTTTTGTTGGCCTGTGTAATTAAAGTTTATTTAAATTGCTAAACAGGTTTCTTTCATTCATTGCAATTATTTCACAAATGGTGACAAAATTTTACAAGGTTTTTTAAGAAGATTTAATAAAAAAAAACTAATGAAAAAAAAATAAATGAGAGGAAAAAAAAAACAGTTCTAAGAAAAATAATTTTAATTAACAACAGAAAACAATAATAAAATAAGAATTCCAATCCAGTATATAAACAGCAACCATTACCATTAAACAAAATTGATCATATTGTGAAGTGAAATAAAAGATTTGTAAAAAAAATAAAGATATTTCATCATAAATAATAAGTGAATTAAAAACCTGTCACATTTTTTGATCTACAAAAACTTAAACATTATAAACAATAAAATTATTTTATACGCTTTTCAAAATATTTCAGCCTAAATTACTTTAGGTATTATGAATATTTAGGTACTTTGAAATACAAAGTTATAAAACTTATTTTTTAAACTCAACCTTGGTTTATTGCTGGTCAACCTTGATCAGCAATAATTTTGGGAGGTCAATACAGCAATTTTGGTCATTTCAGTCAGTTGTTAATCATTGACCACCTGTTATTTTGTGCGCTGTGCTATATTCTATAGCATGGATATATATATATATATATATATATATATATATATATATATATATAATATATATATATATATATATATATATATATATATATACAAACAAGTATAAAACTAATTAACTCAACTTGTTTACAGTTTTATATTTTATGGCAAAATAAAAAGATAAAAATTAAAAAACATACTTTTCAATTATAAGCAATAAAAATGCAATAAAATTTAACAATGGCTGTTTATATGGATAATTTGTTCGGTGAATACCAGGATGATTTGATGTATAATTAATAAAAGTTGTGTTTGCTGTCGGCTGGTTTCTTAGACATAAAAACCTGTAAAAAGACACAAAAATCATCATTAAGGATATATATACAATGCTTAAGCCAAAAGCAAAGAATACAACACCTAAACAATTTATACTGAAAGCCAAAGAAATTTAAAATATTATATCTGCTATTAAAATCATTTTGGAAAAAAATACTTTAAAAAAAATATTGCATTATCTAATAATTTTTCGTCATAATATAATAGAATGTGTTGACAACTTTATGGAATAGATTATTTTTAAATTTAAATTTATTTTAAAAGAATTAACTAATATTTGTAGATTAAATTAACACTTAAAAACAAAAGTTTTTATTTAAATTAAAACAAATTTCATTAACTCAACTGTAATATTAAAAATTAACAAGTTGATAATAAATTTTTAACATTAGGTATTATTGCAAGAAGAACGCAGTTGTCCGATTTAATTTCTTATCTGCATAAAGGTCTAGAAGATGGTATTAGAAACTCAAATTTATTAAGTTTTAACTTTCCACGTGCATCAAAAGCGAGCAATCTCAATTCACTTTTGGGCATTGTAAATCAGAAGGGACTTTGGAATCAAAGCGCTGCTGTTGAAGAATGAGCCCAGGAAATTCTTCACTTTGAGGTTAGAGAAGTTGAGATTGACAAAGGAAAAAAATCTGAGAAATCAATGAAAAAAGAGATGTACAAGGCCATTTGTAAACAAATAAACTATAAGGTTGTCAGGAAACAACCAGAACGCGCTGGTGATATAACCAAGTGTTTAAAAAAAGAAATGAGCCTCTTTGAAGATGAAGGTATGCGAGGAAAATATCTCCAACTGGTTTATGTTCTTCTTTTAACGATTCGACCAACTAGTGTTGAATCCGAAAGAGCATTTTCTGCTGCCGGTATTATTTTGAATAAGTTGCAGTACAGAATGGATGACAAAACTCTGAATGCTCTTTGTTTTTTAAGAGGTTATTTTTTATAGAATAAAAGATAAAGGTTCTACCATATAGATCAATAAACTTGCATTCTTTTCAAGTTTTTGTGATTCTTATATTTATTTACTTTCCTTTAAAAATTTAAAATATTTAATACTGGTTTTAATACCGATATTATATTTTCATAATATCAAAATACCGGTATTGATTTTTTGACCGGTATCGGATTCCCTAGTTGCAACTATAATACTCACGTTATAGTTGGAAACTATAATACTCACATAATAGTTGGAAACTATAATACTCACATAATAGTTGGAAACTATAATACTCGAGTTATAGTTGGAATTAAATTATAAAATCATTTACAAATAGAACAGTTAAAAATTTGAAAAAACACTAATTAACTGAACCTCCATCAACTGCCATCTTTTATTTATTAACTAAATACCCACATAAAAAATCACTAATCAAATATCCACAGAAATATGTATCCGATAGTGATCAACAGAAAAAATGTCAATAAAAATGAAAAGTGGAATTTTTAAAATGCCATTTGTACTCTTTACATTTTTTTAAATGCAAAAACTCCCTTAAACTTAATTATAACTTTACCTATTTTTTATATTTTAAAATTAGAATATAAAAACAAATAAGATTTAAACTTACTGAAGAACAGCTTGAGTTACAAAAAGGTCTATTTCCCCAGGAAAACCAGACAGTATATGATACTCAATGAGAAACATAGCACACTGACAACCATCATTAGTGTAAGAGAAATGTTTTCTAGCACTATGATAATCTTTTTCTATAAATTCATAATTATAAATATTATTAGTTATAAAATATGAACAAATCTTATTTACCATCACATGTAAAATTATTGTCCCATCATAAAAGTGATATATCAAGAGTTAGATTTTTTTTTTGCATTTGCATTTGCAGTACTGATAAATGTAAATATAGTTTTACTATACATTTTTTAAAAATAAATTTTTACAATAAATATAATAATTCAATAAAAAAAGTAAAATTCTGTCATATAAAAAAACACTCCTGTCTATATAAATAACCACAATACAACACTCATGTCTATATAAATAATAGGGATGTACCGAAGCTGAAATTTTGCCGAAGCCACTTTGCTGAAGCCGAAGCTTCGGCACTATATGCTTAAAATTTAATCAGCATTCAGATCAGCAGGGGTGTAAAACAAAAAAGGCACCAAAACTAAGGTCCTTGACTAATAATATAGAAAAATCGTATAAAAATGAGGACGCCAGTCAGGGTTGCTGTTCCAGGCAGGGCAAAAGCTCTCAGCGCCCCTGTTTAAAAGTTTCTCATTATGTCGTTTCTGATACTTGACCGCACCGAGCGTTTTTTTTTTTAAGCTTAAGCTTTTTTGAAACATTCTCTCCAAATTTTCCTACTTCTAGTTCTACTTTTTCTGTGTGCAAACCATATTAATGTTATATAGCATCTTTTCATGTGCTGTATATTTTATTTTTATTTTTAATGCACCTTTTGTTAATAGAAGTGGATAAAAATCTCTGAACATTACTAGAGTAAATTTATCTTTTGCACTTGATCACTCTTTCTTTAAATAAACACTCTTAGCTGATCTAGTTGTATCTACAACATAAAAAATCTTAGAAACACACTTTATCTTTTTATTGCTATTTATTTTAATATCTTTTTTTTACTTCTCTGTATTCTTTAAACGAACAATTTCTAAACTAAAAAAAATCCAAGTTAAGACCATTTTGGATTCCACTTCAACTGTTGTGAACCTGCTGCTAAAAAAAAGTACAAATGATAGATTTCTCTCTAACTACTTTTTTACACACTTTTAAGTATTTTTTTTTGATTATTTTTAACTTTACACTACATAACATTTTCTATAGCTTCTTTTAATCTTTTACACTTTGAAATCTTAGTATTCATTCTTCTTCTGTCTCTATAATGGATAAATCTGCATCAGTATCTGAAATCAAATATTAACTATCTGTGATAAAAGCTTCCAAAGTAATCTAACAACTCTGTAGAGTGAGCTTTAAATAAAATAATAAATAGAATACTTTATAAATTTTTTATTTATAATTATATTATTATTTACTTTATATTTATAAATAAACAGGGACTGAGCAGGCTGATATTTATTTGATTTAAATTGTTTATTTAATTTAAATAAATTTTGATGATAAATATAAGAGCTCTAAGTAATCAAAGCTTCAACCTTTAATTTATTTAAAATAAAATTTAAAAGTCTTCATAATATCATAAAAAGAAACCAGAATATTGGTTTACATGTTTAATATATAAATTCAATTTAGAAGTATTCATAATATTAATAAAAGAGCAAGGATAGTTATTATCATTGTTTTTCTTTTTCTTTTAATTTATCTAGTTTTTGTTGGCTTTTTTTTTCTTTTTTAATTCTCCTCGCTTATATTTCATTTGCTTTTCTTCCTTTTTTGTTGTTGAGAACATTTTGTTTTTTATGTGTCACTCCATTGACTATTTTGTATCTATATAATTGACACCTAACCAATTTCTGTAAATTTATGATGAAAATTTGTAAATTTTTATTAACATGGTTAAATAAAATTTTAAAAAATTAAACATACACACAATTTAAAATAGTAGCAACGTATCTTTAATCTCTTTAAAGATAGATTACTAAGGTTTATCGGTCAAATGTTGAAACCAAATTTTGTTCTATTTGCGGTAATCCCACACAATAATTAATATGAATTCGTTACATAATACAAATTAAGGTTTTAAAAACTTTTAATTTGTTTTAAATTATAAGGTTTTTATTCTGCATAGAATAAAAACCTTATAATTTAAAACAGCTGCTTCAGTTCATCTAAAGTCACACTTAGAAGCTTTCAAAGTGTATGAGGACCTTCCCTAATTTTATTATTTTTTTCAAAATATTTTTACTTATTTATTATTATCCCCTCCATAACAATACACTTGGGAGTAAATAATACTAAGTATATGGTATAGTCTCCAACTTTAACTCTGTAGTCCTAAATTTATAACTTTATTAGACACTGGCAATTAGCTTATTTTTATAACTTGTCCCACAGTAGCTTATAACTTTAATTACTTAAGATTTTTTGCCGAAGCTAAAGATTCGTCAAAAAATTGACCTGGCTTCGGCCGAACCAAAGCTTCGGCAAAATTGCCGAAGCCGAAGCTTTGGTACATCCCTAATAAATAACCTCAACACTCATGTCTATATAAATAACCACAACACTCATGTCTATATAAATAACCACAATACAACACTCATGTCTATATAAATAACCACAATACAACACTCATGTCTATATAAATAACCACAACACTCATATCTATATAAATAACCACAACACTCATGTCTATATAAATAATCACAACACTCATGTCTATATAAATAACCACAACGATCATGTTTATATCAATAACCACAATCCAACACTCATGTCTATATAAATAACCACAACACTCATATCTATATAAATAACCACAACACTCATGTCTATATAAATAATCACAACACTCATGTCTATATAAATAACCACAACGCTCATGTCTATATAAATAACCACAACGCTCATGTCTATATAAATAACCACAACACTTATGTCTATATAAATAACCACAACAATCATGTCTATATAAATAACCACAACGATCATGTTTATATAAATAACCACAATACAACACTCATGTCTATATAAATAACCACAACACTCATATCTATATAAATAACCACAACACTCATGTCTATATAAATAATCACAACACTCATGTCTATATAAATAACCACAACGCTCATGTCTATATAAATAACCACAACGCTCATGTCTATATAAATAACTACAACACTTATGTCTATATAAATAACCACAACAATCATGTCTATATAAATAACCACAACGATCATGTTTATATAAATAACCACAATACAACACTCATGTCTATATAAATAACCACAACACTCATATCTATATAAATAACCACAACACTTATGTCTATATAAATAACCACAACAATCATGTTTATATAAATAACCACAACACTCATGTCTATATAAATAACCACAACGCTCATGTCTATATAAATAACCACAACACACATGTCTATATAAATAACCACAACACTCATGTCTATATAAATAACCACAACACTCATGTCTATATAAATAACCGCAACGCTCATGTCTATATAAATAGGTATAAGTGATGTGGGTATAATATTAAAATACATAACACAACTTGCAAATACTTGTGTTGTTAATCATAGATAGAAAGTAGTATTAACTAACAAGTTGTTCCTTGCACATTTGTTGCACATTATTTTTGTCAAACAACAACTGATATGCTTAATTCGTTTTATTATTTATCGATTTAGATATTTGTATATATTAATATTGCATATTGATATAAATTTAATAAATAATTTTAAAAAATATTCCTCAATCATAAATTAAACTATTGTCGTTTTAATCTTGATTGTTGCACACTAATTGCACACTAATTGCACATCTTTATTGTAATGACACCTTCTAACAATAAAACACCTAAATAAAATATAAATGCTAGTTTGGCACAAAACAGATAGCAATATATTTTATTGTGTTTATTTATAAAATGTATGCGCTATGTAGATTTAACACTGAATCTGATAAAAATCATGAACATTATCATAAAAGTACAAACATATTTGTAAATACCTTGCCAATATTTATTTGCAATAACAGAGTGTAGCTGTGGATGACCATACTTATATCCCTCCTGAGAAGACCAACTGAAAAATACATAAAATGCATTAAATGTACTGAAATTGAAAAAAGTTATTTAATAAACCTAGAAATACCTAAACAGATAATTAAATACTATATTAATCATATTATAAATTACAATTCTACGAAACAAATATTCAAGTTTTCAAATTTTTATTCTGAAATACCTTAGGGCTTCACTGATGTAATCATTTCTGCTTTCAGAAGACTTTGAACTAAGTGATAATATTTTACAAATTTTCTCTAAACAAAAATGATGTTTTGAAAATATAATAACAACTACTACATATAAATATATGTATTAAGAAATAAACAAATTTCATGCCTTTAATAAAACTTACCAAGAGATTCATCTGAAATGTTTTTTTTTGTTTCAGTATAAAGTTTTACCAGAAGTCTTCCTAAATCAAATGCGCTCTCATGCTACATAAAATGAAATTAATTTTAATATTAAGTATACAATAATAACATTATAAGTATTATAATAATTAAACATCTGCTCAAATCATCTCATAAGTCTGACTTGACACAATATAAAACTTGTGCTTTGTAACTTTTTTACAAAACCAAAAAAATTAATTTTGTTTTGTACCATATTTTTACAAAACAAATTTATTGTTTTGTAAAAATAATATTTTGTTTATACAAAACAAACTTTTTAATTGTTTTGTAACAATTTTTACAAAACAAAAACTAATTGATCGTACAGTACAAAAAAAAAATCTATTATTTCTCATAAAAATAAATTATTAATAATATTTATTAATAAAAAAATAACAACTACAAAAAAATAAACTTTAAACTCAATAAAATTGTGCTTTTGTGGTTTTTTAAAAATAAATTTAATTTGTTTACTCAACTAAAAACTTTTATAAATAATATTTTCAATTATACTAAAACTGTTGACATTTTTTTGACCTAGCTTTTTTTTTACTTTTTTACCATACCTATTATAAAAAATATAATTAAATTCCCCACAAAACTAACTAATTTATTGTTTGACACTTTAATTTCTGATATAGTAAATATGAAAATTATTTTATCCTTATTGAATGGTTTCACTAGTGGTATATGGTACCATCCCTATGGTATCATCCTAAACATCCCACTGACTTTTTTAAAATGATTGAAGGGTCTAGACTTATTGTTTTGGAGCTGCTTAGGAGCTGGAGCCAGTGCTATCTGGAGCTGGTGTTTTTACAAAGAATTAAGTCAGAGTTAAAATACTTCTGAGAAAAGCTGCTTCAGAGCAGGGTGTGTTCGGGAAGTAAAAACTTTGATACACCAAAATATCTGGTTTTTGATATTTTAGAATATTAAAGTTTTTATTATATCAAAGTTTTCATTTTATATAAAAATATTTTTAAAAAGAAGTTAAAAAATTATTGTCATTAAAAATGTCATTTAAAGTTTCATTAATTAATGTTGTTACTGCACATTCAACAAAATGTGAGTCATGGAACTATAATAAATTGCGGAAGTAATTGTAATTCTGTGACTTTAACAACAGAGTAAAACACAAATAAAATCTGTGATTAATAATAACAAAATTAAAATGATAGAAATATTAGTTTTTTATCTTTTAGAGTTTTTCTTATATTCAAATTAAGGAGTATTTCTTAATCAAGCCACTTGAGTTTAAGAGCCATTTACTCACTGTTCATAGCACATACCCTTTAATGACATAATTCTTGTTGTTCTTTTTTTTATTTTACTAATGTCTTTTTCATATTAAGAATTCCAAATAGGTGAAGCATATTTCATATGGGGACCAACTAACAAACAATAAAGCAGTTTCATTAATTTTATGTATTTAAAGCAATACCTTATTTTATCTAACATTTTGTTTGCTTTTCCTGTTATCATATATATACCTATTATAATTACACATTTATTATATTTTTTTATTTAGATATTAGGAAACCTAAATCTTGTTCCAAAGATGTTTTTAACAAAGTATATTGACTTGCATTGCTTGTTAGTTTCATATAATATTTACAGTGTGGATTATTTTTTTCTTATATGAATATATTTACATTTTTCTGTATTGAAGTGTAACAGCCATTTCTCACTCTATTAACTAATGTTAGTTAAATCCTCTTGTAATCCAGTTGTCATTGATATTTAAAATCACCAAAATAATTCTTGTATAATTAGCATACAGTTTACAACAGTTTTTTATTTCTTGTGATATATCATCATTATATATAACAAACAACTATGGCCCCAACACTGAGCGCTGTGGCACTCCATTTGATACTTCCTTCCATTCTGATTAATAAGTACCGATAACAACTCTTTGAGTTCTACTACTCAAACATGCTTTAAGCCAGCATAATAAAACTTCATTTTCACTCTTTTATTTCATTAACAACCTTTTTTGTACTGTATCAAAAGCTTTGGCTAAGTCCAAAAAAACTATTGAAAAACCACTTTTCGAAAGACTGTGTAATTAAATCTAAACTCTTTTAAGTTTGTACAACATTTTTTATAAAATAAAAATAAAAACGCTTTTTGTGTATTTAAGAATATCTTATGTGCTTGAAAAGAAAATTTTTGGCAGGTGTTCTTCTATATAAAAGAAATGTATTTTAATGCTTACTTAAATAGAGTTTATAAATTAAATCAAACTAGATTTTTAGATGAAATTTAAAATAATTAAAGTTATCTATAAGTGCTGAGTGTTTACATATCTTAAATAATGCTTAAAAAATAAGTTTCATATTATTTAAACATTTTAAAACAAAGTATTTATCAAAAAATAAGCAAAAAACTTTTTAATAAATAATTTTAAAGTACATTTTTTTTATCAAAAGTAATTTTTGATTTTAAGACAATTTTTTTTTTTCTTAAAGATTAGTTCTTTTTTTTTTTTTAACTTATTAAAAAAAAAATCTTTGATTTTTTTTTACATAAATTTACTGCAGAAATATATGGCAAAAAAATCAATGCTTTTTTAATAATCTCAATAAATATATTGATTCAGTAATTTTAATACAAAACTTATTATATAACTTAAAAACTTACATTTTTTAATGGGCTGGGTGAACTAAAAGTAATTGCTTTTACTCAGCATTTTTCAAGTAATTGTTCAGCTTTACACAAATTTTTAGCAATTTTGCTCAAATATTTTTATTCATGTAAAGCTGAACAATTACACTAATTTGTCTGGGCACTTGGAAATCCCTTCATTAATATATACACGCATACAAAAAAGAAAAAACTATTTGTAAAAATAATGCCTTAAAGTGTGTACATGAAGTAAATGTGAAAGTAGAAAAACAACTAAAAAAAAGTACTTTTCAATTTTTATTTCCAACCAAGTAATAACTTTAATACAATAATATAAGAAGATCAAATATATAACTAAAAAAAAATCAAATTATTCCTGTGAGAATCTAATAAAATTTTGAACTTTTCTTTGGTGGTACCCTAAGCTTGTGCACAGAATAAGAATTAAAGCCATTTGATGCTTTTTTAAACGATATTTCAATATCTTTAATATTTCTGCAAAGTTTTTTTGTTTTTTTCATTTTTCTTTTAATAATTGCCCAGTACTTTTCAATAACTCTTAATTCTGGGCAGTTTGAAGGATTTTCTGTTTTAGGCACAAATTTCACATTATTATTTTTATAACATTCCAAAGCTAGTTTACAATAATAAATTGAAGCTAAATCTGGCCAGAACACAGGTCTCTTATCGTGTGATTTAATGAGAGGTAAAAGGCGTTTTTGTAAACACTCTTTAACATATATTTGACCCAAAGGTGTGGACTGAGAAATATAAGGTGCTGATTTTTGCCACAACTGCAAAAACCTTGTCAAATAAGACTTTTATAGCAAGCTTTTCATGTTTTATGTATTTAAATTTCTTATCTGCTTTTCCTCTACATTTGGCAATATAATAGAAGGTACCAGGAATTTGCTGATGATTGTACTTTATATAAGTTTCATCGTCTTCAATAACAATTTTTTTTTAAAAATAAAACAAAAATTTTTAGAATAAAATTGTCATACAAATTTCTGCAGCAAGTTTTTGAACTTTTTAAATGAGTTTCAGATCGGTTGGGCACTTTTTGTGCTTGAAAGAATAAAAACCATGTTTATTTAGAACTTTTACAACAAAACTATGAGAAAATCCATAAATGTTTGCGTGCTTCCTTAGTGAAAGGCTTGGGTTAATCTTAACACTGTTAAACAGTTTTTTAACTAGTTTTTTATCTAAACCCTTCTTTCTTCCACCACCAGATTTAGGTTTGATCGATTTTGTTTGAGAAAAACGTTGTATTACATGACTAATGGTGTATGGATGTATTTGCAACGCATTTTGCTATCGAATTGTAGCTACTATTGAGATTTTCCAAATATTTGTGCATAATTTTTTATCTTGTGTCTTCTTCTTTTGTTAATTTTTTAAATTTAAATCAAAAAACTAATTCATTTTTTTGAAACACGTTACAAAATAATTTTGAAACAAAATACAAAATAATTCAAAAGATTTTAATATAACCACTGAAAAAAATGATGTACTTATTCTTTCACATTTATTTTGTGTACACGCTTTACTTAAGTAAAACATAGCATAAAGTAATTGATGAACGATGCCTATACTGTTTTAATTATTTGATGACCAAAAAAAAATATTTTTGTCATAAAATAATTATTTCCAGATATCCATATAGTTTTCTGGAAATAACTTGTATTTCCAGAAAACTATATGGATATCAGGAAAAAATAAAAATTCGCAAAAATACCTGGAATTCTGGAAATATCCGGAAAAAGATAACCCCTGTATAATACACATATTTTTTTGCGTGTGATTGATTTACAATTTCCTTTAATGATTTAAAGTTATTGTAAAAAGTAAAAATATGATGACCATTCAATTCATTTTGAAGTGGTGGGTGGTGTACTAAGTTGAATGGTGGGTGGTGTACTAAGTTGAAAATTCATGAGTTTCTTTCAGCCATAAAATTCATGAGTTTCTTTCAGCTATAAAAATATTATTAGTTTTTTTATTTTCAAGATGAAATGTTGAATTATTTACATATTTTGGAAGATACAGAGTTTATCTAATCCATCTAAGAACAACTGCTCTACTTCATGTTTTCCAGCTACTTTACCAACAAAATTGTTCCAATCGATTTGAGGTAAATTGAAATCCCCACATAGGAGAATACTAGTTACTTTTTTTATTCAATATCATACTGTAAGCTGCTTAAATTAACCTTATAATATTTATGCAATTGTTTACGTTGCTAACTACAGTACAATAAATGCATCCACATAAAATTTTTTATTACAAATGGTTATAGAAAACCAAATTTATTCAACTAGATTACTTTGTAGAAATTTGAAATTTCTAAGGATTTTTATGTTTTAACAATATATATACACACTTCACCATCTTTTCCAATGGCTCTATCTTTTATGTATAATCCAATATAAAGCAATATCTAATAATTTGTTACCAAATTATCTCGCATACCATATTTATTTATGATGAATTTTTCTTAATTTCAATAAGGAACCCATTATACTTATTCTTTAATAATGTAGCGTTTGTCATAACCAACATTTTAAATACCTTACTCTTATCTCGTTTTTTCCTTCTAATACATTTGTCACCTATGTTGGTGTCGTATTAATAGTGCTTAGTGTTGATTACTACTCTTTTTTTCTTATTACTCTATAATTTCTGATAGTGTAATAATATTCCTTGTCAATATTATCATTGTTTTTAATTTGCATTCTTCTTATAACACATCTTTCACTTTGTGTCAAATCTACACTATAAGTATCCTATTGTATTCCTTTGAATCTCTTAATTCTTTAGCTTTTTTGATAATTGGATTTCTCTCTTTTTTATCTTTTAATACCACAATAAAAGGAGCTTGCCTATCAATATTATTATATTAGGCTTCATAATATTCAACACGTTTACTTTGACGTTTAGTTTTTGAAAAACCTTTTTGATCAAGATACTGTTTTCTTTATTAGCTTTCTGTTTGTTTTTATCTTTTGAGGCATTTACACAAAAAATAATAATGTTTTCCCTTTTTTCAAGTTTATTATTTGAATCTGCTCTGGTTGTTTTTTTTCAACAACATTTGCCTGCAATTTTGTTATATGATAACCCTTGGTCGAGTTATCTTTCTCTAGTTCTTCTAGTTAGATTAATATAGTTCCCACTAATTGATTAATTAATATTTTCAAATCTTTTTATTATTATTTATACTGTTATTATTTTAAAAGCTTTTTTCTTCATTTAATTAGTTTTTTTAACAGTGTTTTTAATTATATGTTTATAGCAATATTTGTGTTTATAAATAAAGATATGGACAACAACCGAGCCACAAAAACTCTGTTGGATAGTGCGCTGTAGCACTATCAAACCAACACAGCTAAACTGGTGTTATCGCATTAGTGGTAACACCAGCTTAGATTATTTAGGTATAAAAGTGATTATTAGATAAAAAGCAATAAAAATTGCATGCAATTTTTTCGATAAAAATTAGCTCACAATAAATTGTTAGCAGGCTAATGGAAATCATAAAGTACAGCATCACAATTACTAAATATTGCAATCATAACTAATCTTGATCTAAAAATCACTATTAAAATCTACTGCATAATTACAATTCTTTTTATAACAATTTTGCTTGATATCTTTCACTTTGTGTCAACTCTGGACTATAAATATCCTATTGTATTCCTTTGAATCTCTTAATTCTTTAGCTTTTTTGAGAATTGGATTTTTCTCTTTTTTATCTTTTAATACCACAATAAAAGGAGCTTACCTATCATAAAGTACAGCATCACAATTACTAAATATTGCAATCATAACTAATCTTGATCTAAAAATCACCATCAAAATCTACTGCATAATTGCAATTCGATAACACTAGCAGTAAAAACTCAGCAGTAAACTCAGTGTATGAGTAGTATCTCAGTGCTATAAGAATTTGTCTTGATTAGCTCTGATATCCGATGTTTTCTTCACATAACTGTGAATATAATTTAAAAGATTATATTTCCTAGTAACTCCTAACAACAACAAAAAAAGACTTTTTGTTGATTAGCAGACCTTTTTTATTTTGTTTTATTTTATTTAATTTCAGTTTCTTTTTTAAAGAATACATGCTACTGTTGACCAATTTAATTTAGTAGGTCAACGTACATAAAAACATGATTGTATCATGCAAAATTTAATAATAATTAAATACATTTAGATTTAGACTTAGTAACTATGCAGTAGCGGTGTAGTGGTAAGAGCACTCGCTTTGTAAGCGAGAGGTTCGAAGTTCGATTCCCACCATGTCCCTGGAAGTACTGCGCTCAACTTAATTTCTCCGCACAGCGCCCTTGCTTCTCAAGGTTTGTGTTTCAGAGTTAAAGAGTTGATAGAGGGTTGTACCACGATTTACAACAAAAAAACAAAACAAAACAAAAAAAACAAAAAAAAACAAACAAAAAAAAAATGAGTAGCCTCCTTGACTGTAGTGGCTCCCTCGGGCCTTGGGGAGGTGAATAATTAAAAAAAAAAAAAAAAAACTGGGTAAGCAACTGAAGAGTGTGTTATTTAGGGTGACATGTACTGAACTAAGTTCACTAAATACTTTAAATCAATAGTTATATAATTTAAGAGAATTACACATCAACAAATATTACTATTACCTAATTATTAAAGTTAAATTTCATTAAAATTTTTCAAACATATATTTAAAGTTTAAATAATTTGAGGTTTAAATAAAAACAACTACGTGGAAAGAAAGTTTAGAAAAACTACAAGAGAATGCATTTCAAATTGGCTCTGTCATAAGACTCTTTGTTTTGTTTTTTGTTTTTAATTTTAAAAATCCTTAAAATTTCTCATAAATGAATATTAATTTTTATTTTTTATCAACCAAAACACTTTATTTCTATTTTCAACCAAAATTATTTTAATATTTAACCAAAAAAAGTATCTGTTTTATGCTAGATGATGTTTATTAAAAATAACTATTAAGTTCTAAAGTTATATTAGTATTCCAAAGACTATAATTTATGTTAGTATGAAAAGAATATACACCAAAATATATTTGTCAAACTAATATAAGAGAAGGGTTAGCCATTAGATTAGGTTAGTGGATATCTGTAAAAAAAAATTGTTATGTAAATGTAAATAAGCATGCATTTGACCATTTTTAGAGTTTTGTTTTTGCTGTATGAGTACACATATTAATACCAGCTGATAAATATAGTGCTTTTTTAAAGAAAAAAAGCACTATATTTAGTTCAGCTGTAAAAAATGCGCATTTTTTAACAGCTGTTTTATAATAATTTCAATAGGATTTAATAAGTTTTATACTTTGGTGAAAAATAAACTAAAAGCTCATTTTTCAATAAATTGGGATTTACTTTGTTGGTGATTTTTAAAGCCCGTTTACACTGAAAATTTTTATTTTTATTCGTGACTGTAATAAATATTTTCTAATTTTTAAGGCTGATTTTCACACTTTTTTTTTTTTTTTTTTTTTTAGATAGCAGGTAAAAATTGATAAAAAGGGGGGGGGGGGGTCTAAATAAGCTTGGGGTGGGAGGGAAAATTTTCCAAAATTTAATAAATGTCTCCTCTCCTTGTATTAGGGGCTAGAGAGTACATTAGGTAAAACATCAATTGAATCACCAATTGTGTTTAGTGTGTAGAATTCATAAGGCAATTTTCAAAATTCTTTATGATAAAGATTATTTGTTAGAATATTTTGGAGAACAGGAAATATCAACTAGTTCAGACATGTTCAGAAATATCAACTAGTTCAGACATGTTTAGAAATATCAACTAGTTCAGGCATGTTCAGAAATATCAACTAGTTCAGACATGTTCAGAAATATCAACTAGTTCAGACAAATCCATTGATAGAAAAATCAAAAAAAATTATTAACTATTACTTTTATTTAAAAAGATATTTTTTCATTAATACATCTTGAATATAATATAAAATTTCAAATAAATTTAAGTATTTATTTTATTTAATCAAATTTCATGAACTTTTTTTACACAAAAATTAATAAACAAATAAAAACAACTTGAATAACAACAAAAACCTGATTGTGTTCCAATAAGATAATCACACTGTCATAAAGAATGTACTCTGCATCCTCATATTTTTTTTGCGACTTATACCTATGATGCATACAGAAAAAAAAATTTATACTCATACATATGTATACATATCTTAAGCAGCAGGCTATAAGATAGTCAATGTAGCAACACTCCACACATGTTATTAAAATATATTTTAATAATACAAAAACAAAAACACTATTATTTAATAAAACTTTCTAGTCATTATTGCTGTTTTTTTAAAAAAAGATAAAATTTAATGTACTTCCGCATTAATTTGATTGCTTAGACTTTTCGACAACAATAAAATGTGGCTTAATTGTTGAAGTCACGAAATTGTTGTCAAAATATTTTTTTTACCTTAAAAGTCTCTTTCGACTACGAGATAAGAATATATATATATATATATATATATATATATATATATATATATATATATATATATATATATATATATATATATATATATATATATATATATATATATATATATATATATATATATATATATATATATATATATATATATATATATATATATATATATATAGTTAGTTAGCTAGTCAGTGGTAAACTGCGTGGATCTTATCCACAAGCTGAGACGTTGTAACGTTCAGCTATAGCAGCCCAGTACTTTTTTTTTTCTTTTTCTTTTAAATTAATATTTTCTTATTTTTCTTAAGCCATTCGTATAAACTTGCTTTAAAACTATTCAAATTCTCGGAATCTACAACTTTTTCCAGAAGTTTGTTCCAAATTTGGCAAACTCTGTTTGTGAAGAAATAGATTCTGGAGCTAACCGATGCATGAAAGTCATTTATTTCTTGAAGAGTAAAACACTGCATTCTAATTTCATGTTTGAGACCTCTAATGGAAGAACATGGGCCATCTAATTTAATGCTTGAATTATAGATTGGTTTGACATTAAGATTGACAAATTCTAGATTGTTTAATATCTTATATAAATGAATAAGGTCTCCTTGTTTTCTTCTGAGATTTAAATTAATTAAATTCATTTTAACTAGCCGTTTCTCATAACTTAGCATTCAGTTTGAGTATGGTGTTTTTGTGGCCCTACGTTGAACTCTTTCAAGCATTAAGATTTCGGCCATATTCGGAGGACTCCATGCTGGAGCCGCAAATTCAAGATGAGGTCGCACATAAGTAGTATACAAAATTTTCCACATATAACAATCTCTACTTTCAAAGGCATTTTTCAATAACCCCAGTATTTTTGAAACTTTGTTAACACATACTTGCGTTTGATGCTTCCACCTCATATCCGGTTGTACAAAGACACCTAGATCTCTTTCTAATACACTGTTTGAGAGGTCATAAATCATTCCATTTATATTCATTGTGTATGTTTTATCAATACCTCAAATAACTTTCTGATTGCCGAATCTCATCACCTTACATTATTTGCAGTTTAGTTCCATACCCCAATTGTTGCACCATTTCACAATGTTGTCAAGGTCGGTTTGTATTTTCGCTTGTTTATCAATGGATTCTTCTATGGCTATTATTTTACTATCATCAGCATACATTTTAAATGTGTTTAGCACAACTTCTGGGAGGTCATTTATGAATAGCAGAAACAACATTGGACTCAAAACAGAACCCTGAGGCATGCCACTGGTAACTGATACCCATTCTGAAACTGTATTGCTAATAGCAACTCTTTGTTTCCTATTTGCAAGAAAACTTTCAATCCAGTTATATATTTTTCCAGTTATACCATGCGCTTTAATATTTGTCAATAATTTTTTGTGTTCTACTTTATCAAAAGCCTTTGCAAAGTCAAGATATATGACGCATAACGGTTTACCTTTTGCAGTTTCAAATGTAATTGTGTTAATTGTCTCAATAAGATTTGTTGTGCATGATTTGTTTGGAACAAAACCAGTTTGCTCCTCAGATATAAGTTTATTTGAAACTAAATGTTGCAGAATTGTGTCCCGAATGAGCTTTTCGAACATTTTACAAATCACAGATGTTAGGGATACTGGTCTGTAGTTTTCTGGTTCAAGTTTTGATCCCCCTTTGTAAATTGGTGATATATTTGCAACAGACCAGTGGTAAGGGACACATCCAGTGTCAAAGCTTAATTTGAAAATATGAACAAATGGGTTCACAAAACCTTCTGCAGCATGCTTTAAAACAAACAGACTAATTTTATCAAAACCCATTGCTTTTGACTCATCTATATCTTCTAACATTTTGAGAATTTTTTCATAGGTAATCATAAAAGATAATTTACTGCAATCGCACTGCTTTTCGCATCTTTGCAAGAATTCGGGTATTGGTTGGTCATTATCATTAACAAAGACTGACTGAAATTGCCTATTTAATATATCTGAAATGTCTGATATCTCAGTTGTAACTTGATCTTTTTTGTTCTTGGTTGCTCTAATTTGCGTTTTAATGTTTTGTTTTCTATTTACGTATGAGAATAAAAGTTTTGATGCAAGCTTTGCTCTCTTTACTAAATCCATTTCGTATTCTCGAGTTGATCTTTTGATTTGCTTTTTAACATTAGCACACATTTTGTTAAAAGCCTTTCGAGATTCTTGACTTTGCTGATGCAAATTTGAATAAAACATAGAATGTTTAATCTTTATTGCTTTTTTAACTTTTGCATCCAACCAGGGTTGACTGTTCTTTTTTTTATTATTCAAAATAGGAATAAACAATCGACAAGATTCATTATATGTATGCAAAAATAACTCATAACATTCACAGGCTGATTTGTTATAAAAATGCTCAACCCAGTTGACTTGATTCAAGTATTTATTCATTTGAAAAAAATTTCCTTTTTTAAAGCAAAACTTATCTTTTGTGAGTACTGTATTGTTACTAAGACTAGTAAAATGTGTAGTAATGGTATCTTCCCTTTTCATAGTGGCCTAACTGTGGACCACATTGAAGAAAATCAATGCAATTTGGATTGCAAACTAAAACAGGATCAAGGGTGTTTACTGCTGAAACAGAATCATTTTGTTTGAATGTTGGAAAACTTACTATTTGGTATAGAGAACAATCATTTAAAACTTTAATAAAGTCATGTTCAATTGAGTTTCCATTTGAATGAATTATTGGACCATCATCTGTCCATTCTATATTAGAAAAATTAAAATCTCCGACCACTATGAGATCAGTGTATTTTTTTCCACTTTTGAGTTTTGAAGCGGTTCTGATTGAGTCTAAAATCAATTTTGAGTAATCAGCTGTAGAGTTTGGTTGTCTATATACACAACCAACAATTAAATGAAAATTATTACAATTTATTGAGCACCAGACTTGTTCGATCTTTTTGTTGTTAAGATGCACATTTACAACTTCTATATTTGTAAGTCTTTTATTTACATAAATGGCAACACCTCCTCCAATTCTATCTCTATCTGCCTGATACAGTTCATAGCCATTAATTATTTTAATCGAATCCAATTTAAATCAAGTTTCTGCAATTGCAATAACATCAATTTCATATGCCAAAGCAAGTATGGACAGCTCAGATAGTTTATTAGAGTTACAGGAGGTAGCATTAGTATAATAAAATTTAATTGGTTAATAGTTAGTACTAGTATTTTGCTTTAAATAAATAGGAAGTTTTACATTACTCAGGTTTTGGTAAGATTTATAAGATTGGCTGATATGAGCCCCTCCGGGCCTGCTTGGCAACGCTCTCTTTGACAAATGGGTGAACTTTGCGGTTACCAATGTCTTTTGTTGTAGTGACGTCGATGCATATACATATAAATATATATATATATATATATATATGTATATATATATATATATATATATATATATATATATATATATATATATATATATATATATATATATACACATATATATATACACACACACACACACACAGATATATACATATACATATATATATATATATATATATATATATATATATATATATATATATATATATATATATACAGGGCTTGAAATAAGCGCCGGACATGGGAAATTTTCCTGCACTTGTCTGAGAAAAAATGACACCTATCGGTCATTTTGTCCAACATACATTTTATGTGCATTTATTTTCTAATCAGTTTAGTTTTTCCAAAAGTTATCAATAAATTCAGCATTGTATATAAACTTTATTTTTTGAACCTTTTATTTTTTTGTACAATGGTTTTTATAAATTTCAGACAAACATTTTAGCTTTAAAAACCCCTTTTAAATTTATTTTATAAAAATTTTAATATAATAGTTATTTTAATAGTTTAACAGTTTATTTTTTTTTAATTTTTTTTAATTTTTTTTTAGTTTTTGAAACTTTTTATTACACTATTTAACTTGAGTTGTTACGTAACGTTTGTTTTTGCTCTAAAAATGTTTGCTTTAAAAGTGTTTTTAAAATTAATCCTATAAATATATATTTTTTTGTTATATATTTTTATTACATATTTAATTGTGTATTTAATAATTACATAGTTTATGTACTTGATATATTTAAGTTATAATTTATGTACTTAATATATTACAAAGCATTTCGCATAGTATATTATAAATGTTAAATATATTTTCCTTTTCAAATTTTAGTTTTTTGAACTTAAATTTAATCTATATTTTTAAGATTTTCTTTTTGTTAGTTAAAATTACAAACTCTTACAAAATCTTACAAATTTTCTTTTTGATTTTCAGCCCATTTCAGTTGTCAAAACATTGCATAAAAACAAAATATTTTAGGCGTGTTCAGGAACGGGATTCGATCGCACTTCTTTAATATTTATTGGACATGTCCAGAAAATATATATATATATATATATATATATATATATATATATATATATATATATATATATATATATATATATATATATATATATATATATATATATATATATATATATTGTACTAAAAAAAGAATATGTAATAACATCTAATAATTTCAACTGCAATAATAATAATAATTATAATAACAAATATAAACATAAAACATTAGGTTGACAAAATATGTATTAATTTATTCTGTTAAAAATTGTTTTAAATAGTTAATAATTAAAAATTATAATAACAATAATAAAAATAATGGCAATAGTAATAAAGAAATAAATGAAAGAACTTAATAATGATAATAAAGATCATAAATATATATATATATATATATATATATATATATATATATATATATATATATATATATATATATATATATATATATATATATATATATATATATATATATATATATATATATATATACAAAAAATACTTCAGATTGGTTTTAAATTTTAACAACTTTTAAAAAAATTAACTAATTTATCATTTTTAAAAAATAAACAAAAACAAAATAATACAAAAATAAACTCTCTCTTGTTAAAAAACATAACTTTGATTAAAATTTACCTAAAATATAGTGTTTTCGTCATTTGACTAGCCTCATAAAATTTACCATTTTCAACAGAATTTTTAAATTTCTGGTGAATTCTCTCAAGCCTGGAATTATTTTTTGTTGAAAATTCAGCCGCCATTAGAGCTAAATTTTGGACTTTAAACAAACCAGTTCGGCGATTTTTATATTGAAAACAGTGAAATAGCGATTTTGTGTTTATTGTTGATTATTATTTTTTAACGCTATAAAAAATATTATTTTCCTTCTCGTGGTGCTCCAAGAAGATCTAATAGTTTTGTTCCAGTACTCTGCGGAAGAACTCAGAGCATCATGGAATTCAATACCGCAAACATTTCGGTGTAATAATTTTTCTTTACTAACTCAACTAAAACTTAATACAATTAGTATCAACTCATCTAAACTAAGTAAAACTTAAAAACTGCTTTTCGAATAGTTTTTCGTAAGAGGTTTCTAGATGAGCCTCCAATTCTTGAAACATTAAAAAAAGTCTAAGTTTATTTTTTAATTTTCCTAATTTTTTTTCTACTTGCAACTAATTATTATTATTATTATTATTATTATTATTATTATTATTATTATTATTATTATTATTATTTTACTGTATTTGCAAGAAAAAAGAGATTCCGTAACAAATTTCCTAGGTTTTTGTTTCAATGAAAACAACCCCTGGAATCAACATATTAAAGTAACTAGAATTTCAAAAAACATTGTGATTTTATGTAAGCCATAAAGTTGCTCGAATAAAAATTGTTTAAGCCAACCTTGTTAGTTTTTTATCCACAGTCACATAAATTATGTTAATACTGCTTTATGAGTTCTGTAAGTCAAAGCTTCTCTATCGTCGTCAAAAATATGCAATTCGCATAATCAATTATGCATACTATTTTGCAGATATAAAACCTTTCTTTACTGAAAAACTCAATCTATTAAAAGTTTTATGTTTTGTATATGTTTGGAGAAATGATGTCTCCTACCGTTTTTAAAAACACTTTTAAACTGAAACCTAACAATAAATACGATATAAGAAACAATTTTTGAATGAGCTGTTTTGTCACACAAAATTTAATCAAATACTTTTTACTTTTTCAAACTCAACCTCAAAAAAATGTTTTTTTTTTAATTGATAATATACTTCAAATATACTTCAATACTTCTAATATTATGAAAATTGTTATACAACCTGGATTTTAGTATTTTAATTTTATTTAATTTATTAATATATAATATTTTTGTCTTTAATTTGCTTATTTATACTATATAAGGTTTTTTTTTGTTTTGTTTGTTATTAAAGTGCTCCAAGAATCACAGAACACTGTTGATGATGATTTAACCAGGAAGGTTAAATCCTTTTTCGATTTTTTTTTTTTTTTTCTTTTCTGTTTAACATGGTATAAATATTACTTTCACAATTCACATTTAAACACATATACAATAGAAGAGAATACATAAATAAATATTGAAAATCACATAATAATTAAAGTTAAATCAGAGAGGGATTCAAAGAAGATACGGAAAAAATTTTATTACCACAATCTTTTCATAGAGCTTCTTTATAAAGACCTAAATACTATATTGTTATGGTATATAGTTACCGTTAAAATAGTCAAAATTAAAATAAAAATAAATAGAAAACAAAAAATATAGTCAAATGAAGAAAAAGTAACCACTAAAATAGTCAAAACAAATACTAAAAATATAAGTTTTTCTTATAATCACATTTTGAAAATTTCTTTTTTTGTTTGAATCTTGAACGAACTTAAGGACTTCACCATTAATTTATACTCCTTTTGACTGTCATTCCATAATTTGGGTAACCCAAGATAAGATATACAATATTCTGAGAATTTATTACATTTCCAAGGTAATTTGAACTGTTGTTTACATTTGATCTCAGATTATAACTTTCATTTAGATTTTTTTCAAACTTGTTGTTAAAGCTTTCTGGTATATATATATATATATATATATATATATATATATATATATATATCAGCATCTAATTTTTATATTTATATATAAAAATTAGATGCTGATAGGTACTTATTCCGAATGAACCCATCATTTTCATATCTTTCATAAGTGGTTTGCATGCTCTTGTTTGTGCTTAGAGTATATGATTCGGCAAGCGTATTTTTTTAGCCTTTAAATTTTTTAAAGCTTCGTTGGTTGCATACTTACTCATGTTATGTTTTCATAGTTTATGAAACAGTGAATTAGTGCAAAATATATCAATTTAAGACTTAACATATTGAGATATAGGCGAACTCGATACATAACGCCAATCGTTTTAGTAATTTTAGACTGGATATAATTTAACTGGGGAAGCAAGGATAAATTTTCATGGACAAGAATTCCAAAGACTTTTTAGCTAACTTGCTTTTTAATTGTTATATAACAAATAAAAAAAAAGTTAGCTTAAAAGTCTTTGGAATTCTTGTCGATGAAAATTTATCTTATGATATACACCATCCAAAAAGATTTTGGGTAGCTTAAATGGAATGTTTATATTCTGTATTTTTTTATTGAGTATAATTTCTTTTCTCAGCATTAAATGAAAGTTTAACCCAGATTTAACCAGGAACCGTAAAAATACGGGTCTGTTTCACACCGACCTTTTCTATACCTTATATATATATATATATATATATATATATATATATATATATATATATATATATATATATATATATATATATATATATATATATATATATATATATATATATATATATACGTTAATAGCAAAAATAAAGCAGATACATATTTTATTCAATAAACGAATTTTAACTTATTTTATTTTGTGAATAAGGGTGAATAATTTTAAAGCAAGATAAATTTTTTTTATTCTGTTATTAAATTAAGTAAATAGAGCAATTCAAAAAAATCACACACGGAAACGATATGTTTGGTCTATTATTTTCACAATAACAAAGCTGGCTCTCTATATTTTGTCTATTATTTTTATAACAATAAAAATAATTCTCTCCAATTTACTCTCATCTAATTCTAATCTGAAGCATTATTTTGTAAACAAAAAATATTATATATTGGTAATGTTATCCAAAGAATAAATTTAGTTTGAAGCGGAATCACGCAACGGAACATAAAAATGCGAATTTTATTTTCTAGATAAATAAACTTTAATTTCTTTCTAAAATATAGAGTAAAAGTGGGTCAAATAAAATAGTTAAGTGTTTTAGTTCATTTTTTTGACGGGAAAAAGACTTTAAATTCTTTTTTTTTTAAAGTTGTAGAAAATTTTGAAGTGTGTTTAAATATACAAAAATAATTTATTTTTTTTATAAGTTTTTTCAGAAACTTTATTTAATTGGATGAAAAAAACTATTTCATTTTACCCTCATATTTAAGAAGTATGAAATATGAAAATGATGGGTAATTTTAATTAACTAAAAAATGCCATGAAAATTGGTAAAAAATAAAAAACTACCAATTAATAAAAAAATTACTTTTACTTGTGTGATAAGGTTGAGATATAATGCTTATGGTTTAGTCTGGACCACTTAAGCACCAATTTTTGTGCCAAAAGTTTTTTGATCTAAAAATAATATATTGCGCAAGCGAATAACACCAGTGACACCAGTCACCAAGCGAATAACACCACAAGAGCACCAATTTCGACGGTCGTTTATCGCCACGACTGCAAATTCTGTTTGCTTTTCTTGATTACCAGAGAAGCCAATTTCATCAAAATTCTAAAAATGGCGTGACTTCGTTAATATCTGCTTCCTTATCACTAGTATTTCTTGTGTGCAAGAAACGGTTCTAAGTACTGAAATATGCTAACGTCCTAATTTATGACTCCACCGGTTGATGAAAAATTTACACCAATCTTTCCCTGGTGTTCCGTTGGAAAATAGATGATATTGACCTTGGTGTTACAAATAGTCGATAATTAAAGAGATGACGTCATTTTAAGTTATAGCAAAGCCCCAATCGGATAATTTAATGGGTGTACCAGAATTGATTCGAAATGTTGCGGCAACTTTGCGTTTAAACTACTGCTGATTGTTTTCGCCTATGCCGTTGACACGCCTATCCAGAGTATGCTGAAAGATTATAAAGATGCATTGGTCAATTTAAACATAGTTAATTAATAAAAGCCCTATTTACCAAGCAAACAATCGGCGAATTTCATTCATTCTTATATATTATTATTATTATTATTCAGTGCAAAAAAAACAAATACAATAAATCTGTTTAAAGTTTGATGAAGAGGTGTTACACCAGGCGCCTCTATGCTGACGAAAATAAAAACACAGAAGCTACAGACAAAGCAGCAATTTGTCAATTGTGTTACTTTGTTATACTGTTTTTGAAAGCATGGATAGATGGAGAGTTTATAGTACACCGTTTCCTTTTTTAACTCATAACTTTTTACCGTAAAAAGCAAGTTTAATTTTGATACTTGAGATTCTTGGCTGGTGTAAAAGTAGTTTTAAAAGGGTTTTAAAAGGGTACGTTTTAAGTACCCTTAAAACGTACCCTTTTAAAACTGTATTGCCAATCTTTTAAAAAAATAGTGTTCCGAATACATTGATATTGATGAAAAAGCGAATTTTTTGCATTTATTAGTAAAAAAATTGTGAATTGTTAAAAAAATGAAAAAAAAAAAATTAAATTAATCTTACGAGTATATTTAAAAACCTTCGTCAGCAATGCTTCAGGAGAACAACCTTTCTCTTTTTTAAAGAGAGTAAAAATAAAATATTTTTGCGAAATAAAATATCCCAAGGTAAACTAAATAATCTATCAATAATGTATATTGAAAGTTATGTTCTGGATAATTTAAATTATGAGAAAATTATTGACGAAGTTAAAATTAGAAAATAATGTTTTTAATCCCTTTTTTATTTTGTACAAATATTTATTAATTTTTCTTCGTTGTAAAGTTTTATTTTTGTACATTAAACAAGTAAATAAAAACACAATTTGTTGCAGTAAAGCGTTTTTTTTTTATATATGAGAAAATTTTAATTATTTATAACACCTCTCTGCAAACATTCTATCGCGGTATTTCAGTGAGCCTGTATAGACATTTTGAGTGGTCTACTGTAGTTTTGCTACATCGATTTTTTAGTGAACCATTAACTGACCAATAACTAGCAACTATAAACATGTAGGAAAGTTATTGGCTAGTCATTTATAGCGGTTGCTACTAATGGTTCACTAA